CGGACGAGGGCGTCGGCGGGAGGGGGAGGAAGCGCGAGTGCGCGTGCTGCTGTCCCTGGCCCTGCTGACTGCCGAACAAAGCAGAAGGAGAAGCAGCCGCGGAAGGCGAGTGCGCGTTGGTATTGGGATGCTGATGCTCGAGGTGATGATGCGCGGTGTTGCGCCCGGGGCTGTCCAGGAGGTACGCAGCGGCGTGCCCGGGGGCGGGGGCGTCGAACGCGTAGCGCTCCTTGTAGAACGAGAGGTGCGAGGGCGAGTGGAGGCCGTGCGTGGGGGAGTGCAGAAGCCCGTGCAGTGGCGAGTGGTGCAGCCCAGCGGGGGAGTGCAGCCCCATTCCGTGCCCGTGCCCAATGGGCGAGTGCATCCCCGCGCCGTTGTGCAGCGGCGAGCCGAGTGCGAGCCCGTGTCCGTGCGGGGAGTCGAGCGGCGTGAGCAGCGCCGAGGAGAACGAGAGCGGGGAGAAGTCGGGGGATTCCGGGCACGAGTTGGCGGATGCGGAGGCGGAGAAGGAGGCGGAGGAGAAGGAGCGCGTGAGCGAGGGGAGCGAGCCGGCGGAGTCGTCGTCCCCCGGGGCTCTGGAGGTGTTCGGGGATGCGGATGAGGAGAGGCTGGTGTTGTTGGTGGAGGCGGAGGCGGCGGAGATCGAGGCGGAGATCGAGGCAGACGCGGAGATGGACGCAGAGCTGTTAGACGTAGCAGTCGAATTGTTGGCGAAGCTAAGGTCAAGCGGCGGCGGCGCGGGCTTCATCCGCCCGCCGCTGGCGCCGCTTCGCGCGCTCCCCGTGCTGGCGGGCGATGAGCGCGTCGTGGCGGCGGCGGGCTCGGGCTCGGGCGAGTTGAGGTTGAGCGTGCGCAGCAGTTGCACGACGTGCTGCACCCAACGCTGTCAGCCATTACGAAACTCGAAAGGAAAGGAAAGGACGGTGGTGGGGAGAAAAAAACGTACACTATCCGCGCGCAGATCCGGGGTCGCGCCGCCGCTGCCCCCACTCTGCATCTGCATCTGCGTCATGGCGCCGCGCCCATCGCCAACGGCGCCTACGGGCACGCTGCCGAGAGGCGCGAAGAAGTCCATATCTTGGCGCGGGGGATCCGAAGCCGCTGCCGGTGCGCAGCGCGCGAACGCGTCGAGCGCGCGCGGCCAGGTCGTCTCGCTCGTTTGCGGCTGCGGGGCCCAGATCGACGCCGAGGATTTGGATGCCGGGGCGGGCACGGGCGCGCGCGGGGGCGGCGGCGGGGGGCTGTGGTCGTAGAGCGCGAGGAAGGGCGATTGGTGGTGGTGGTGGTGGTGCTGCATTAATATTGGTGGAGGGGCTGGGATGGATGTGAGTGAGATCATTCTATAAAGACGGGTAGAAGGCGAAGAAAGAAACGTTCGGATGATGATATATGGCCCGTCAAGACGGGGAACAGCGACGGTACCAGGCAAAATAAGAGGCACGCGGGACGTGCGATAACGGCAATATGAAGGGGAGTCGCATCATCTTGGGAGTAAAAACAGCCCAGCAGACGGGCCATATACCCGACTCCAAGACACGGGAAGCCGGGCACGCAGAGAACGAAATGTAGTCATCGTGCACGCTACCCGAAGAGAGGGCCGTAGCATGGGGTTCCGAGAGGCTAAAAATGTGCAGGCAGTAGTGTGTCCGCGACGCAGGCGCCTAAAACGGAGAAAACCACGCTACAGACACGAAGGCAATAGACAACGATGCACCGAACGCGATGACGAGGAACGGCTCAAACGAAAGCGAAATCGCGGAGAGGAAAGAGAGACTCGTGTCTCCGCCGCTACCCGCCAGGACATCCAGAACGACACGATGGGGCGAGACGAAGTAAAGAAGAGGCGAATGGAGCAAGGATAAGAGCGGCACACGACAAGTGCCAGAGCGAGGACAATACCCTACGGCGCGTTCAAGACTCCGGCAGCGGGACAACGATGGACCGGATACAGGAGCCATGCAACGCGCCCACAATAGAAGTGGCTAGAAAACGATCTCCCGCACTCTTCACGGCGTCCAGACGATACCAGACGATGAATTGGGAAGGATGAGAGTCAAGGAGAAGAAGAGAAAAGAACCACACACGACACCATCCTCTCTGTGACAACCGCGTCCACGACTCCCCTGATCCATTGGCGCGTGAAGATAGAAACCAGCGCATGAGAGACGCGCGGAATGTACGATAACGGCGATATGAAAGAAGTACAGCAACGCTGGAGCAAAAGCAGCCTGGCAGACGTGATGTACGCCCGACTCCGAGACGCGGGAAGCCGGATAGGGAGAGCACGAAATACAGTCGTCGTGCACGCTGCTCGAAGAGAGAGCTCCGGGAGGCTAAAGATACGTGTATCCGCGGCGCATGCGCCCCAAACGAAGAAAAACCCCGGTACAGACACGAAGGCGCTGTGTACCGAACACGATGATGAGGTGTACCGGACGGGACGACGAGGAACGGCGCGCGCTCCGAGCCGCACGCGGAGAGGAAAGAAAAAGATGAGTGACTCGTGTCTCCGCCGTCATCCGCCAGGACATCCAGACACCACGCGGCGAGAGGAAGGAAAGAAGATGCAAATGGAAAGAACGGCGCACGACTACGGCGCGTCAAAGACTCCGGGAGGATACATGAGCCACGCAACACGGCCATGATGAAAGTGGCCAGGAAACTCTTCATGGCATCCAGGATACGAAATATTGGAAAGGATGAGAGTAAGAAAAAGAAAAGGAAAGAACCACACACGACACCATCCTCCCTGAGACAACCGCGTCCACGACTCCCCGATCCATCCCAAACCAAAACTAAGACACCCAGAAGAACGGAAAGCACCCCAAAAGACGGGAAAAAAGGCGAGGACAAGCACCCACCTAAGATCTACTACAGCTCACTAGACTGGATGGGCGGCAACGGCAACCGAGAGAGGGATGGAGGGAGTCGAGGAGGAGGAGGAAGAGGAGGAGAGGTCGGGGGAGGAAGGAAAGAGCGCCAGCCCCCGCTCGCTCTTTATACCATTTCTCCCTGACGGCGGCTTCTGTGAAGGTGCATTTCACTTGCCGATCGCTTGCCTTTTTAGGATACCGGCACGGGAATTCCCGGGCTCGGCGCGCGGAAATGTGTGATTTTGGGGTCTGGAGAGGGGCGCGCGCGCTGATGGCTTTATCTTTCGGGGAGAGGAGGAGTGGGGCTTTATTTTGTGTGTGGTAAGTAGGGGGTTTGGAGGGCGGTGGGAGGCGGAAAAAGAGGTTGAACGGGCGATCCATAGGAAATTCAACCTAATCGTATTTTTTGGGCGGTGATTGCGCGGGGCGCGCTGAAAAAAAGAAAGGAATACTCCTCAAGACAGAACTATTCATCTCACCGCCTATAATAAAGCAAAAAAAAACCACATCCTGCCCAACCTCAACCCAAACTCATCGGACACCCGGACCGCACGTCAAATGAATCATGTCCCGTTCAACCTTCACATGTATGTAACTTGTAACACACACTTTCACATTTACATTCACAGGATCCGCGATGCGCCTTGTTCCTGTCTTCTTAACTAATTCTTATTCGGAAGCGTTGCTGTGACGATTTTCGGCTTTCGGCTTTCTCGGTCCCTGGAATCACGACCCGACGACTCCAGGAGGAATTCGGAGGAGTCAATAGTTATCCAGCGCCTCAACGCGATAAGGCGTCATCAACGCGAGGACGCGTTGAACGTTAGGCCAGGTGAGCGCCGCGGCCGGTTGCAATTACCCCGACAGACAGATGGATTTTCAGTAAGACTCTTTCGAACCCTGTCATTTTCACCCAGCTCGCATTTCGTATTTCATCTCATTCCAGACTCCAGATAGCAACCCCGCGTCCAAAAGACCCTCCTCTTCCCGCCGTTTTTCCATTTACTAATTATAATACTTGAAGGACTCTGAATCTTACCTGGATCGAAGAAACTCACCTCACCCTCCGAATCGCACTTCCAACTCCCCATAAATTCGCGTTCACATGCATCCCACCACCTCCGACGTCGTGCACGGCGTACACCTGCCAACAATGCCATACACCTTGAATTTGTGAGCAGGGAACCTGGGTTCGATTCCCAGCGTCGAAATTTCAAGTAAGAGTATTCGGTGACGTTTTTTGATTGAAGGATATAGTATGCCGGGGTTTTTTACCGCGTCGCAGTGCAGTTCTATGAATCCCGAACTTGGATTCTGCATGCAACGCTGGTCTATTCTGATAAGTTATTTCTCTTCGGTTCAATATTCTCGGTAAGAATATTATTTTATGGGTTTGAGAACCTGGCGACTCACTGACTCACCGAAAACTCACCCACATATCCATAGCCAACTTCCTACCCAACACATCCGACGTCGTGCACGGCGCACACCTGCGAACAATGTGGGAAATTGCCGAATGTCAGCAGGGAACCTGGGTTCGACTCCCAGCGTCGGAATCTCTCTGTCATAACTTTGTCCCGCTTCGAAGGACACTTGGATTTTATATTTTACTTTCCAGCGCTCGACACCCCGATTTGGGCCCTGCACGGAATGCAGGTGATACTTTTTTGGACATTCCAGATCTTAAGCCTGTTCAATTTGTGGTGGTTGAAAAACTGACGACTCACCCGCATCACAGGTACTTGGATGACACTTATCCGGATATCCACCGCCAATTGCCACCCAATACCTCCGACGTCGTGCACGGTGCACACCTGCCAACAATAGCCCGAATTCCACGACCATGTGAGCAGGGAACCTGGGTTCGACTCCCAGCGTCGGATTAACTAAATAATGTGTGCTGTACCTTTTACCCCCGCTTCGAACGTCGCCCGGATTTTATCTTTTGCTCTCCTATACGCGGCATGCTGACTTGAACTCGTATGCGTTCTTCTGAGACTTTTTTGTCCCTTCCAGATTTTAAGCCTGTGCAATTTGTGGTTGCTAAAATTCGGACGACTCACCTACCTCACAGTGTATGAACCGAAAACTCACCCAGATACCCACATCCAATTCCAACCCAATACGTCCGACGTCGTGCACGGCGCACACCTGCGAGCAATGTGCTAAAATCTCGAAATGGGAGCAGGGAACCTGGGTTCGACTCCCAGCGTCGGAATCTCTCTGGCACGACGTTTTCCAACTTTTGTCCCGCTTCAAAGGAGACAAAGATTTTATCTTTTGAGTTCCAGTGCGTGGCATGCTGACTTGGACTCCGCACGGAACGCATGCGTTCCTCAGATATTTTTTTCTCCCTTCCGGATCTGAGGCGTGTACAACTTGTGGCTACTAAAAATTCGGACGACTCGCCCACCTCACATGTATGATCGAACACTCACCCACATAATATCCACCGCCAATCGCTACCCAACACATCCGACGTCGTGCACGGCGCACACCTGCCAGCAATAGACCCACAATCCCCCAACGTGTGAGCAGGGAACCTGGATTCGACTCCCAGCATCGGAATTTGCAAGTAGGAGTTGACATTTTTTGGCTGAAGGATACACTCCCGCGTTTGTTTTATCAGCCCTTCCCAGTGCTAGGGATTAATCCCGACTTCGAACTCCGCAAGCGCCGACCGGCTCCTCCTCCGATACCTATAGCTATCGCTTTCCCGTTCAATACTCTCAGTAAGAATATTGTTTCTCCGGCCGTTGAAGAACTGACGACTCACCCACTTTATAGATACGCGCTGAGTCGAAAACTCGCCGACATATCCACCGCCAATTCCAACCGATACATCAGACGTCGTGCACGGTGCACACCTGCAAGCATTAGCAGTGAGGTATTTAGCCGAAGTAGGCAGGTAATCTGGGTTCGATACCCAGCGTCGGATTCATGTATGATTTCAGTTGTCCCGTACCTTTTGTCCCCGCTTACAAGGATGCCCGGATAAATTTTACTTTCTCGCGCTCGAAATCCCGACTTGAACTCCCCACGGAAACTTGAAGCAGTCCTACTTTGATTTTTTTCCCTCCGTGCTAAGCTTGTTCTATAGGTAGTTGCTGAAATTCGGACGACCCCTGCTTCAAGGTACGTTTCCGAGTCGAAAACTCACTCACATATACCCAGCCAACTTCCACTGAATATGTCCCGCGTCGTGCACGGCGCACACATGCGAGCAATATGTAAATTCTCGAAATGGGAGCAGGGAACCTGGGTTCGATTCCCAGCATCGGACCTGGGGCCTGTTATTACTTTTCTTTTTGTCTACCTTGACGTGGACCCCACTCAACTCTCCTACCTTCGTTTCCCCCGGGTCCTCCGAGGAATCGCAGCAAGGATCAAAGAGAGTTGAAATGATTAGGCGAGAAGATTCATCAGATTGGGCGTGGAGTTTGATCAGCTTTGGAACACATTAGTGATCGTCACGGGCCGGGCCACCCGCGGCGGGTCCCGGGTACGGGTCAGTCCGGGTACGGGTACGGGTCAGTCCGGGTACGGGTACGGGTCCACCTCAAGATTTATGCTGGACCCGTGGGTACCCGTATGGACCCGTGTGAACTGGTGTGTCAAAGTATTTTGGCTGCAAACAATGTTCTACGCAGTCGATAGACCCAATTTCCTGCACTGTAAACTCATTATAGGTGTTTTCGAGACCCCTAAGGTCCATCGAAGGGTATGCTCACCTGTATTGAACTTAGCCGAGGCTGCCGGATCATCATTCCATTTTAGTAATATTTCAACTCTTTCAACTCGAAAATCTGCTGGGCTCATTGGTCGTACCCAGAGAGGCTCTTGAAAGCAGCAGGTACACCAACCATTAATATAGGACTGAATGCTTTAACCAGAAAGCACATAGCCTCTGACGGGTTGCGCGGGTCGCGGGTCACCCCACTGACCCGGACCCGGACCCGTACCCGTACGCGCGGGTACGGGTTTTGGCGGGTACGGGTACGGGTCAACGCGCCGATACCCGCGGGAGACCCGTGCCGATCACTAGAACACATGGTTCATATGCAGGTTTTAAATGTTGAAATGAGTTGGTTTGGTGTCCAAGGAGGTGCTATGAAGACCACTTTCGGGTTTTGCTGAAGACTGTCCCATGTTCTGGGAATACATGCGCTGGGATAACCCCTACCTTTGAACCTCCACCGAGGGTATGGGTTAGGACAGCTTCAACTGCAAGATGTCGGAGTCTCACATTGGTTGTTTAATAATGAGTAAAAAGAAAAAGACAAAGAAGAGTGATTTAAAGGTGTCACTGTATGGCAAGAGGTGTTCGATGTCTGGATCACTCAATACGTTCCCATGACTCCCCCCCAGAAAAAGGAAATTGGCCTGTGTTACTCGTCAGTTCCCCTTTGAAAGTAACGGTGCAAGGTACCTGCTTGAATGCCGGGAAAATTACGGCGGCCGCTGGGGCAGCTGCCTACTGGGGACCTGATGCCCGACTGAATCGATCCGCCCGAGTGTATGGATCTCAAACGAGCCCGCGAGCCGAACTTCTGGCGGTCATTGTGGTGCTGCAGTCCGCTCCGATCTTCAGGTCAATAATTATTGCAACCCGCTCAGAATATGCTATCCGCTCTGTTGCATATTATGCTGCAAAGAACGAGGCGTGCGGCTGGAGGTGTATCAACGGAGACTTACTCAAAGTCCTCATTGCATTGATTAAAATGTGGACCGCACCGCTGCATTTTACCCATATAAAAAAGGAAAATGCAAACAGATCTCCGCGAAGCTAAGAGTGGAGCAGTTTGGGCATGTGCTCTCCCGCGACCTAGATCGCAAGTCTCAGCTCCAGAAATCAATGCAAGGCCCACCGAGGTTGGTTTGGTTGGCGTGTCAAAGGTTGTTGCAGACATACCCAATGATAGTTCACCACCAGAAATTGCTGTTCGGCTCCCTCGTACCATGTTCCCCGAAGGTCATCGAGGCCGCGAGAAGCTTGCGACACTGAGGGAAACGAACCGCAAGAAAGTTATGGAGGCCACTTCGAGCGGCGCATTCTGGAAGGAAGTCAAGAGACTCGCTGATCCGAAGCCGGCGCCTATATCAATTACGGCCGCCAGCCTCAAGGATGTCTTTGAGAAGAGGCTCAACCCGCCCGAGGTTCTGCCAACTCAATTTGACTCACCCCAGCATGGCGTAAACAGGATCCTTGCAAAACTTCTTCCACCCATAACGGAGGATCACACCCCGGAGGGTTTCTTTACGGAAATATGGAACGAAGAGGATATGGGCCGACTCAAAGACCATCTGCGCAAGCACTCAAAAGACAGCTCCGCTGGAGAGGATGGGACTTCATACACTGAGATGCTGGAAATTCCAAATGAGGACCTGGCGAGACTCTGCAACGAATGTGTGGCACGCAAAGACGGTCCGTCAATTTGGTTCATGACGGCGCTCATTGGTATTCTCAAACGAATGAAGCCACATGATAATCCGGATAGCTATCGCCTCATAGCGCTTGAGAGCTGCTTTCTAAAGGGCCTGACTATTTTAATTCACTGGCGTGTGTTCGACTGGGCGGAAGCAAGGGGTTTCACATGGAGGATAACAAAATAATCCATGCCAAGACATTTAAAAAATATGGAGAAAATATTTACAATACCTTTCATGGGTCTGTGGCTCAAAAAATGCACAATGCATTCAAAAGAGGCAGAAGGTATTCAAAAGATATGCTGATCTAAGCATATCTTTTGAATACCTTCTGCATGTTTGGGGCCACAGACATCCGAAAGTTATTGTAAATACTTTCTGCATATTCTATCAATGTTATGGCATGGATTATTCGGTTATCCTCCCTGTGTTTGATCCCACCGGCTCAAAACGGATTTAGACCGGGCTATAGAACGAATAATAACCCGTTCATTCTCCAATGTCTCAAAGAATGGGCAAGAGCCCACGGTCACACCCTCTATGTTGCTTGTGTTGACTTCACCAATGCCTTTCCCTCAACGGATCAACCAACACTTTGGTTGAAATTGTTCCGACTGGGAATGGGCGGGAAGATTTTTAACTGGCTGCGCATGTTGTACGACCGAATGGCTTATTATGTTAGACACGGAGACATAGAGTCATCCCAGTTCAAGGCTCTTATCGGCCTCCTTACAGGAGATCCGGCATCGCCAATACTGTGGAACATTTTTCTCTCTGACCTAATATTACTCCCTAACTTTGATGATGTTTTCCTCGCCGGAATTCGCATCTCTCTGCTAGCTCAGGCTGATGACCTTCTTATTGTTTCCCTCTCTGTGCGAGGTCTCCGTGGAAAATTAACTACGCTCGAACGCTGGTGCGCAATGAACTTCATCCTTGTCAACTTGGTCAAAGTGATCATTTTGATCTTCGGACCTATGCTCTCACCGCTCCCTGTGTTCCATCTTGGTACCACGCAACTCGCAATCAAGACTGAAGAGAAATATGTTGGCATCAACCTTAGATCAGACACTCGTAATATTTTTGCTGAACACTACAAAGCCAAGGCACGCACCGCCCGCTATTGTGGACATCGCATCATGGCCATTGAGGACATGACGGGAAGGCTAACACCAAAGGAACTAAAACAGCTATATATGGCGCGCGTTGATTGTCACTTGATCCATGGTTGCGAGATCGCTCCGGACAGTGAAGATGTGTACATCAAGCATTTAATGAAAGTTCAAGTTAGCTTCTTACGACAAATGCTCAATCTCCATCGCCGCTCCATGATTGCTCCCCTATTCACAGAAACTGGGATCATGCCTCTTCGAGTCCGACGCCTCCATCAGGAAAGACCTCCTTTGCAAATGAGGTCAGATTACCTCTAAAAAGTGGGTAATCTGGCCAAATTACCTTGGTTAGGTTCGTTAGCTTTCTAGTGACGTTGAAAATAAATTAGTGGTAATCAGATCTTAGTTAGCCAGAATTCACAACGATTATCACACATCGGATGCTCTCAATTAGGATAGCATTACATTGAAAGCAGAACAAAGAATCGTATTGAGGGTACACACTACATGCAGAAACTAGGACTACTTGTACTACATTACATCCACACATGTCCACATACTTGTCCATGCGCCACCGATCGCCTATGAGTACAGAATTCAGCGAATGAATACAGGCAATGAAGGGAAACATACAACGGCGCCCATGAGAGTACAAATAGCGGAGCTATCATGTTGTACT